CGAGATATATCGCATTACCGAATACCGGCACAAGTCTAATATATATATATATATATATATATATATAATTGTATTATTATTGTAAAGTGAGGACCAGAGTCAGAAATAAACCAAAGCCATGGTCCAAAAACCACATTAAAAATGTGGGAAAAAATAGCTCATATTTTAAAAGCAGTTATCGAATATTTCATATATTTAAAAATATTCAGTCAAATGCAGTTGTTGTTGAATGTGTCACTAATATCATGGGTTTTTCTTTGACCAAAAACTATTAAAACAGTGATAGTAGAGAACTATATCTAACAAAATGTCTCACCAATAATATTAAATGTGACCCTGGAGCACAACACCAGTCATAAGTAGCACAGGTGTATTTGTAGCAATAGCCAACAATACATTGTACAGGTCAAAATGATAGATTTTTCTTTTATACCAAAAATCATTATAGGATATTAAGTAAAGATCATGTTCCATGAAGATATTTTGTAAATTTCCTACTGTAAATATATCAAAACTTAATTTTTGATTAGTAATATGCATTGCTAAGAACTTCATTTGGACGACTTTAAAGGCGATTTTCTCAACATTTTGATTTTTTGATTCCAGATTTTCAAATAATTGTATCTCAGCCAAATATTGTCCGATCCTAACAAACATCAATGGAAAGCTTATTTATTCAGCTTTCAGATGATGTATAAATCTCAATTAAAAAAAAAATTACCAGTCATGGTTTTGTGGTCCAGGGTCACAAATGTTATGATCTTGTGCATTATTTAGATTTTCTAATTAACAGCAATCAAATTTAATACAGTTAGTTAAAAAAAAAAAAACATTTTAAATACATTTAAAAAAAACTTTTTTGAAAAGGTAAATTTGTATTTAATGTTCTGTTTTATAGTGCAAATTAACTTGCTTTTTGACCTTTTTTTTTTTTGCATTATTTGGGGCATTAATATTAATATTAAACGTTAATATTAATATTCGACATCGTGTGTGCATCTGTTGGACTTGTGAAAGTGACAAAAAAAAGGTAAAATAAGCTAAGGCGTCAACCTAAAACCTTTTTGTTCAGTATGTAAAATTCTGTATATTTATTATGGAACTGTTTAGTAGCTTATAACCGAAATGAAAATCTTGACGATGATGATGATGCTTTGTATGGCTGACGTCGGCGTCCATAGATCCCTGTCTATCCCTTATTTCCTAACCAATTAACCAAACCAAACCTTGGCGCCTTGGGTAACGCCATGTAAATGTATTCTGACCACCCACTCAGCCGATAACCCCATTATCCGGCTAGTCCGGCTATTCTTCTCACCCTTGTTTTGTCTCTTTGTAAGTCACTCACCGTCCGCCTTTTTTCTATCTCATGACAGAGGGGTATTTGGGGGCGCGACTACTGTTTTCAGTTGTTCTTTTTTTCCCGATGGACAGCGTTCGTAATAATTCGGCGCTTTCAAGTCGGAACCCCGCTTTCGTGTTTCGGATTCCGAGACGCCCCTCTGGTTATGAGCCGAGTGTAAGTCATACACGAGTGTCAAAGCGTGAGACATTCAACACAATCACAGAGTCAGTCAATTAACTGCCGCGAGACACACACACACACACACACACACACACACACACACACGTATAACCATAGGAAGTTTAACGTGACCGCGTCACAGATAAAAAGCGTCAAACGGCTTCTAGTCACCTGTTTCTAGACTAATATTGTAAAAGTTTGTGGTCTGATCTGTTGTTTTAGCTGAAAATTGTGTTTGAATGAGTTAGAGTTAAGAAAAACAAGTTAGGCTATAGGTTTGATGAGTTTAAGATTTATTTTTGCCTAAAGGCAAAAGGCATAACTTGTTGCATCAGTTATGACATAAAGGTGCCATTGATAGGAACAAACGTTTTCTAAGAGAAAAAAAAGGTATTCCTAATATCAGTAAAAATATTAGAAACTCTAATTGTTTTGGGGAATATATAAATATTAATAATTTAAATAGCCTATTTATAGAGTCAGCAAAAAAAAAAAAAAAAAAAAAAAAAAAGAAAGTTAAACAAAAAAAACAACGAAAGTTAAGAATAATTATTAAATATCAGTTATTATAAATGATATATTACAAGTAGCCTAAACTGAATAAAATATTTTCT